CTTGAGCAAAAAAGCTCAGGGACCATGCTCAGGCTCTGTGTTCAAACTCCAGGACTGGAATGGACACAGACAGACAGACACACACACACACACACACACACACACACACACACACACACACACACACACACACACACACACACACACACACACACACACACACACACACACACACACACACACACACACACACACACACACACGACCTTAGGTGTTAAGTAACCAAACAGCCTCACAGTGGAGGAAAGCAACCTTACCTCAGGGCTTCTTTTTTAATTAACAGGAGGAGAGTCTATCCCAAGCCTCCTGGCTTCATTTCTCCTCCTATGTTACTTACAGGAGAGTGAAACCATATTAAGTGGATCTGAAATTCAAGCCAGAGAGCACTGATTACTATGTCATCTTTCTAAAAAACTTCTAAGTGGCTAAAAGCTTTTTCCTCTGTGTCTGAAGTTTCTCCTAATGCAAAGAAGCAAGATTTAATTACATTCTAGAACCACTGGTCCCAAAGACAACTTCAGAAAAGTCTTTTTCTTCAATCAGTGCTGTTTAGTGAGTAGTTTCATATAGCTTCTTAGATGATCATATTAATTGCTACTCATTAGGAAAAGTCAAATAGAAAAGAAAAACAAAGGGCAAAAGGCAAAACCATCTCACCCATCTCCTAAATCACACACTGCCAGGCCAGCCACTCCTTCCAGTCTACAAAGTACCTCTTCCTTTAAGTCCAGAGTTTCAAACACCAAGCCTGGCTTTGGGGAAGGGGTGAGGAGGGAAATGGCCCTTTTACTTCATTACAGTTAGAACACAAAAGAATATGTTAGGGACATGAAAATAACTCACAACCAAAATCTCTAGGGTAGATCTTCCTGTCTTACTGTTTGTTAGTTTCTAGGTGACCTAACCTTCAGTTGATGGTGTGGGTAGGCATCCTCAAAGACGTGATTTTTCCGGCTCTTCAGGAAACATCAGATGTCCTGAATATTTGTCCCAATTTCACTTAAAAAAGACAATGAACTCAGGAGGCTGAGATCTGAGGATCACAGTTCAAAACCAGCACTGGCAAGAACATCCATGAGATTCTTTTTTTTTTTTTGGGTCCGGTCATGGGGCCTGAACTCTGGGCCTGGGCGCTGTCCCTCAGCTCTTCAGCTCAAGGCTAGCACTCTACCACTTGAGCCACAACACCACTTCCGGCTTTTTTTTCTTTTTGCTTATATGGTGCTGAGGAATCGAACCCAGGGCCTCAGGCATGCAAGGCAAGCGCTCTACAACTGAGCCACCTTCCCAGCCCTCCATGAGACTCTTATCTCCAATTAACCACAAGAAAACTGGAAGTGGCATTGTGTATCAAGTAATAAGAGCGCTAGCCTTGAGCTGAAGAGCTGAGGGACAGTGCCCAGGCCCAGAGTTCAAGACCCACAATTGACAAAAAAAGAAAAAAGACAATGAACACAATCATGCAAATGTATCATATTCCATACCGGAACAGGTAATCACTTATTGTCTAACAGTTTATGGTTTCACATCAAGCTGATTTCCTGTTGTTTGGGGTACAACTCAGAAGTTTTGAAACCAAAGGAAAAACAGGAATAAACCACCTGCTCTTGGTTCCTGAGAGGACCCTCTAGATTCCACCTGCTTCAGTTTATACTGATAGCCACTCTGATGTGTGGCCCACGATGGAAGAAGTTGATGAGGTTGGATATGATCACCTTTCTCCAACACCTCAGTTTACAAATATCCCCAATCCTTGTCCTTTGCCATGTAGATCTGAGACTTGTTCTCCACTGTCTTCAGGCCTGGCCACCTGTCAGAAGAAGTTTCTCCTTCGTTTCTGTGATTGCCATCCAATGATGCAGTTGTAATGATAGCTGTTATTCCTCTGCATCCATTCTCAATTTGAATTTGTGTTACTGATGAGGAAAACTATACTCTCAATTAGTCTTCTTAAAAAAATACAGAAATCCCCTGGCCATAAAGGAAATGCAAATCAAAACATTGAGATTCCATTTCACCCCAGTTAGACTGGCCAACAAGGAGACCTAAACAATAACAAATGCTGGCGAGGATGTGGGGGAAAAGGAACCCTATTGCACTGTTGGTGGGAATATAAACTAGTACAACCACTCTGGATGGCAGTTTGGAGATTCCTCAAAAAACTAAACATAGAACTTCCCTATGATCCAGCCAGACCACGTTTGGCATCTGCCCAGATTATTATAAGTCAGGATATGGTTAAAAAAAAATACTCCCACACCCATGTTCATTACTGCACTGATCACAATAGCCAAGTTATGGAAACCACCCAGGTGCCCTACAATAGATCAGCAGAGCAAAAAAAAAAAACATGGTACATATACACAATGGAATGTGTCCATTAGCAAGAATAATACTATGTCATTTGTAGGAGCTAGTTGGACCTAGAACAAATAATGTTAAGTGAGGTACGTCAAACTCAGAGAGACAAATGGTACATGTTTTTTCTCATTTGTGGAAGCTAGATCTAAAACACATTGGACATGACAACTTATACAGGCCCTATGCATTTACACACAAGCAGACTAAAGGAGGACACTCTTAGGGGAGGAACCCAAAGGTATAACCCCTCTGAACCTTTAGAATACTACTTACCAAAACAAATTCTAGAAATGTTATTGTTGCTGCTGTTGTTTTTTGTTCTTTTTTGTTCTTCTTAGTGGGGCAGAAGGACGGCATAGGAATAGAGGAAGGGTAAACAAATGCAGTCATGGTATTCAATATACACTATGTAAAACAATGAGCTATGGAACTTATGGGCAGAGACAGGAGGGGGAAAATGGAGGGAAGTAAAGGAAGGAGTGAAAAATTGTCCTCATTACCTGACCTATAGAACTGTGACCCTCTTTGTACAACTCCTTAATAGTAACAACAAAAAATACAGGCCTCTTTGTATTCATGTAGTCAGCTAGTACAGTGGTTATATTATTCACAAGTGTGAAACAGAACACAGTCACCAACTTAATGATTCAACTTGATGATATTATTTGACTTTACAATGGTGCAAAATGATAGGCATTCAGTAGAAATATACTTGGGCTTTTAGATTTTGAACTTTTTCCAGGCTGGTGATAGGGTATACACCTCACCCTTGCTGGACGGTGGCAGGGAGATACAGTTTAGCCCAGAGATCACAGGGGAAACAATGCTTAGGATGTGTTTATGGAACAAAACATGGTTAAGTTGAGGAGCATCTGGACTTGAAAATGTGGATCTTGAGGCTGACAGTATAACTTGAGAACCTGTAATAGCTTCTAGTGTGACTAAACCTCTGTAAGTAGGAATAACACTACAGGAGCAAAATATATCCATCTCCTTTATTCACTGGAAACTTTTGTGTATCTTTTGTGTATCTAGTATCTGACTTTTGTGTGTGTGTGTGTGTGTGTGGTACTGGAGATTGAACCCAGGGCCTCATGTGTGGTGAAATATTTAGGAAACTAAAGATGATTGTTAAAGATAATGATGAATTGAAAATAAAGTCAGATACAATTTTGTATTTTAAATCAATCCTGAGATAAACTGAATGAGCCTAATTTTTCAACTGATTATTGGTTTAAAACACAGTCAAACTGGGTGTAGTGGTACACAACTGTAATTTTCTGTGGGCTGTGATAGGAAGGTTGCAAGTTTGAATCCAGCCTGGGCTACAAAGGCCTTGTCATAAAAACCTATAGCTGCTGGGTATCAGTAGCTCAAGCCTGTAATCCTAGCTACTCAAGAGGCTGAGATCTGAGGATCATGGTTTGAAGCTAGCCTGAGCAGGAGAGTCTGTGAAACTTATTCCTAATTAACCACCAGAAAACCAAAAGTGGAGCTGTGGCTCAAAGTGGAAAGCACTATCCTTGAGCAAAAGAGCTCAGGGACAGTGCCCAAGTCCTGAGTTCAAGTCCCACCTCCCCCCCCCCAAAAAAAAAGCTATAGCCAAAGATTTGGTAAATACTAAGTAACTGGATATATGTTAATATTTAAAATGTTGCAAAATACTTATCAATGTTATAGCAGTCTACAGACCTCAGCTTTCTCATTCTGCTAGTCTCTTTCCTTTTTTTGGAGGACAGGCTATTTATTATTAATTCTGTTTTGCTCTGAGGTGGCTAATGAGCCTGATGAACCACCAGTGCTGGGGTCCAGAGACTAGGACAGGCTTCCAGCCACCAAGCTCTGCCTCTCACTAGTTGGCTGTTTCATTCTTTTACATCTTTCCTACAAGTCTGGAATCAAGGCTGTTGGCATTTGCAGGACTCATCCTCTCCTGAGAGGAAACTTGAGCTAGTCCAATTAGCAAGATCACAGAGAGAGGGAAGCTGAGTGTCTCATCTAGCATCACATTCCCTCCCTTCTTCTACTGCCCTGTAGTCAGAAAGGATGGACAAGTCACACGAAGAACTGGAATGTTTACAACACATCTGTAGGATGGAGAGGATGGCATAGTTTCCCAAAAGAGGGGTGGGCCATTTTGGAAAAAAGGCGCACTGGGCAGCTGAAGGTCTGGCATTACAATGAGCAGAGCTCTTGTTTGTAGCCTCACGAGACATGATGCTTCCTGTGGACCAGTCCTTCAAGACTCTGAAATTCTAGAGTGACTCTAGTCCTTTAAGGATTAGTTATTAATAATTCAGCTAACTGAATTATATACAGCCATATACATTCTCTTTTTGGTAGTAGGGATAGAACCCAGAGCTGTTCTGCACCTCCAGGTCCTAGCCTGCACTGTTGAAAATGAGTTTCATCTGAGTTGAAAAGGTAAAGTATCTTTTTTTTTTTTAAAGGTATCCAATGCTTTCGTCACAACTTAAAAAAAATATCCAAAACAGCAATATAATTTCCTTCCTTTAGCCCTGCGGAAGCATGAGCAAGATGTCCTGCTGGAGGCCCCAGCTGGCAAGGAACTGGACGTGCTTCTAGTGTGTTTTTCACTGGAGACCAGGGTCTCAACAAATACAGCCCACAGACCAGGGTTTGATATTTGGCTTTACTTTATAAAAATACACAACTTAAATACGTATGGCACTCTGTATACAAGACATAAACATAGATTTAACAGCTTCAGTTAGTTCACCAGAAAGCAAATATGGGCATTACCTTTCAGGAGCAAAGACTCTGCATTCACAGTCAGAGGGCAAGAATGCCCAGGGGGCATCCAGGGCAAACAGCTAACCCAAAAGGTCAAGGTCCCAGCAAAAGCCCCTCACCAAGGGCCTTCATGGCACTGTACAGCTTAATATTGCACTGCTTATTAGATATAATCTCACTTTTTATCCACATCACAAGCTTCTTTCTTTTGTAGGAATGGATAATGGAAAATATCAATGTCCAGACAGCACTGACTGTCTTAAAATTGTGCTCAATACCAAGTATGAGAGACAGGAACTGCTCTGTACTCTGCCAAGCAGCTAAATTCATTACCTCAAGTTCTACAAAAAGCAGTGGCAGACTCAGGCAAGTTCCAGGGGTGCAGGGACAAATGAGGAGCCTTTCTAAGCCTACTGAGTTTACAGTTAGAGGGGCAGTACTGTCACTATCACAAGGCAATCTGCACACAGCTCTAACCTGAGCTGGAAATCTCTCCCTCCCTCTGGTGACTGTCACAGCTCTGAGGAGACATTCCAGGCATCTAACTGCCTTATCTATGGCTCATTTAACTAATCATGAATGAGGTGCTACTTTCTAGGCATAAAGAAATATTTACCACGTGAGAATTCAATACACTTGTGAATTCAAATACTTACCATTAGAATAAGTTTCCTGAGGTAAATGTAAGACTTAGACTGGTGTGCAATCTTCACAAGTACAGTGATCTTAGCACTGCTGAGTAGCAAGTCTATACTTTAAACTAACAGGCTACTAAAACTGTAAGCACATTTACATGAAGAAATAAAAGACAGTGCTGAAGTGAAAGAAATATTGACAGTTGAGAAGGAGGAGGCACAAGAGATGGAAGCTGGGGAACAAATGGGAGAAGTCCTTAAAGTGCTTAAGTAGGCTGATGGGAGACAATCCCAAATGCCTCCAGGGATTTCTCACAAGTTTAAGAAGTGTTTTTTCGTGGTGACTCAGATGTGGAAGACATGGCTTTTCTTTAATTATAGCTGTTCAAACTTTTTATTCTTTTTGAAAATTATTCTGCTAGTTGTGACTCTCACCAATGTGTTTTGAAATCTTAACTGCATGAAGACACTTTAATAAGGTTCAACTACGAAGTATACATCTGCTCCAAGCACTTAAATTAATGCATGAGATCTGTAAACGTTTGGCATGAAGTTTGTACTAAAAATACTTCTCATTGCAAATCATTCTCTGTTACATCTTAACGTTCTGAGGCTGGGGTACTGACATCTGAAAAATTCTACAACCTTAGCACTTCCCTATTTTATTCCTATTAAGTACATAAAGTAGCATATGGCCATTCTGAATGTTAATAATGAAGTTTGTTGAAAACCCAGTCCTGAAACCTAAGCCCAGGCTACATCTGAAAAAACGACTGTGAATGTATGAATGCAGCTCTAGAGAATTCTTTCTGCTCTAATCACTCATCTGAGAAAGGACACTGAATGAGGTGACTGAGTGTTTAATTCCTTACGCAGGGCCATGCCCTCAGAGAGCTGTCCAGGCAATTTGGGCAGACAGCCTAAGTACAATTACTCATTCAAAGACTCCTTCATTCTGTTACAAGAGAAACCTGAAGCTAGAGTATTTTAGACAGGAGAAAGGCCTTAAGCAAAACTTAGACCAAAAGAATTTCAGTAGGGGTCTTGTAGTCCCAAAAGCTACTTTAATGGCCAGAATAAAATCTCACAAGAAGTAATCCATCAGATCTCAACTCCTTAAAAAAGAAAATTAAGCATTTTTGATGATCACTCAGAGGAAACTGATATTGGGGAACAATGCTCTGTTTCTGACACACAAAGTGAGGCTGCTTTCAGGGAAGTGAAAAACCCAGAAAAGTGAAGTAGCTTGGATGGTACTTAGCTACTAAAGTTATGCTATTTGGCAATCAATATGGGATGGGAAAGCGGTTAAAACTCACAGAATAGTAACATTTGCTCTACTTCAAAGCTCCAACTGGCACAGGTGGCTGCAGCTAAAAATGTGATATAATGAGAGTGATGCCATAATGAGTCAGGCCACAGGCAGGTTCCCCAAGCACTGGAGAGAAGACCTCCTCTACACTATGCCTCTTCTCCACTCCCTATGATACTGTGCCACGGAACAGATTCTCCATGGGAAATTAGTTTTTATAATCTGTAGCTTAGGATTTTTGCTATTTAGAAATTTGTAGCCCAAGCAGAAATTAGAAGTATTCTGTCCCATACAGGGCTTAGATTTGCCCCACTGTCCCCAAAGGATCAACTTGTTTCTGGCCAACCAAGCCCAGGGCAAGGCTGGCAGGGGGGAAGAGAGGAGGCTGAGGCAGATGTGAGTATAGAAAGACAAAGAGAGGGAAGAAGAGGTGTGGAAGCCTGACAGAGGCTTGTGAGGACACTGCCTCTCCTACAAACACACCTGCTCTTAGCTGGTCTTCCCCTCTGGGTATGTGCCTATGTTTGGCCATGTGCAGTCTCCAGCGTACCCTGCAAGTGCTTCTGTCATGGAGCCTGCGTCTCATTCCAGTGCACAGGGCTCCCAGCTGCTCCCAGCAACCATTTCTACAGCATGCAAAGGCCTCAGATGGTGGGACGGGTAAGCCCCAGTAGTGTTCCCACATCTAAGCCTGCCTCCCACTCTTCTCTTAGCACTGGCTTCTCTCTCCCCCTGGTGGCTGCCGAAGGAAACACAGTGAATGTCAATCAGAATTGTCACTCTATTCCACATAGTTCCACAGGGGTGCCCAGAGCTCACTATAGATGCCTTTTACTTTTTTTTTTTTTTTCAGACAGGGACTCTAGTAGCCCAGGAAGGCTTAGACCTCTCAATCTTTCTGTTTCAGGCTCCTTAGTGCTGGTATTATACAAATGTGCCACCACACTAAGCTAATTATAGAATGATAATTAAAATATCACCAAAGGAACTCATTTCATTGATAATGAAACAACTTGTTTTTAACCAAGCCTTCTGGGGGCTTGAAAGTTGTCTGCTTGTTTTTGTTTTCTCTCCCTCCACTTTTTTCTCTGATGATGAATTAAAAAGTAAAAGCGTGAAATTCACACTGTCTCTTGTCTCCCTCCAGTAACCTCATGGACTTTCTCAAGCCTGTGTCTAAAGGGCAATCCCATTACAAAGCTTACAAACAGATGAGAAAACCCAACTCTGATAATAGGAAAGGGAGTGCAGTGCATAGGACGCGGGCTTCTCTTCACCTCACGCAAAGGCAGATCCTTTGTTGTAAATGCCTGCAAGATGGTAAAAGGCACCTGCATTACCGAGCTACAAATGACGGCACAGGAGAGAACAGAGCAGAGAGATTTCATGAAGGAAAACTCCATGCAGGCTTTTCAACTAGAGGGGTCTGTCTGCACTAAACGCTGTCTCCCTCTGTCTCCTATTTGATGTTTTTCAGGAGGGCTGTCCGGGCATTCACAACTGCTTTGAAGGCATCTTCACTCCCAGGAGCCGTGCATTTGTCAGGGTGGAGCAGCACAGCAAGCTTCCGGTAGGCCTTATTGACTTCCTCCCTGTGGAAAGCAGCCAGGCTTTAGTAATGGGTCGGTCCAAGAACTGCCTTTCAGCTGTTTCCACATATACTGTATCTTTTGTTATAAGCATATCCCAATTATTTACCTTCTCAAAGGTAGATCTAAAAAAAACTAAAACAAAACAAAAGAACCCCAACAACCTAATAAATAAGAGGCAATGTGTAAGTAAAAGAATCTAATACAGAACGTACACAAACTCAGAGGAAACGGTAAAACTATAGCATTAGGCACGTGGGGTTGCTGAGCAAGCCTTTGCTGGCTGGAGGATGATAGCCTGGGGTACCAAGGAGCCCCTACTCCCTGAAGCATTCTGAAAGTTGGGGCTTGGGATTAGTATAAATTGGGAACTCAAGAGTGCCAGAGAGAGAACGGACGGAGGCAGAGTGCGGGCTCACATGGGATAGTCCCAAAGGAACCCAGCTGGCTAGGGAAGAGGGGACACTCAAGGATAGGCCTGGATCATAACATCAGGGGTACTTCATGGCAAGCTGGCACTGGGAACTCTGTTTCTCAAAGGAGGGAGAACAGAACTGCGTATCATGGCTCACACCCATAATCCTAACTACTCAGGCGGCTAAGACCCACAAGTCTGTGGTTTGAATCTGCACAGAAAGTTCTCCATCAAATAGAAAAGATGAAGAAGGGACTGAGCAGACTTCCAGGTCCTGAGGAGGAGCAGAGCCTGCTGGGGACAACCTGGAGATGCTGGGACCGACCCATCCAGCTCTCCAGCACCCTCAGCAGTCAGGATACTAGCTGGTTCGAAGTACCCAGCACTACTGGGGTCAGATTAAGTTCCACCTCTGCCAGTTTTATTTCCCACTCCTCTTTGGAAAGTAACCAGGACCCACCTATCCCACACAACTGGCCATGGTGCTGTGGCCAAGTGTTCTGGCCTTTCTTTTGAATTTCTAACAGCAGTTTCTAATCTCCATCTCCAAATCAGGGAGATACTCTCTGACACCCTGGAGGTAATGGAGTTTCATGTGTCAACCTGGACACTTGTGTCTTAGGCATACATGCTAAGTCTCTTTCTCTTAGAGAAAAATTCCCTCTGAATTTTCTTGTTTTAACTTTGAATGTCATCTTTTTCATTTTTTTCTCTTTTCTCTCTCCTTTCCCCCCCCCCCCCCCCCCCCCCCTTCTTCTGTCAGTTGTGGAGCTTGAACTCCTGGGTGCTGTCCCTAAGCTTTTTTTGCTCAAGGCTAGTACTCTTATCACTTTGAGCCACAGTGCCACTTCTGGTTTTCTGGTGGTTAATTGGAGGTAAGTTTCTCATGGACTTTCCTGCCAGGGCTGATTTTAAACCACGATCCTCAGATCTCAGCCTCCTGAGCAGTTAGGATTACAGGTGTGAGCACCCAGCACCTTTTCTCTTAAAGACATTGAAGGGCCAATGTTTGCATTTCTCCCCTCCAGGCAGCTATCTGATCCCTGCTTTCTTCCTGAAGGAAGTCCTGGGCAGAGCCAGGAGCCACTGTGCTCTGAATCCACCTGCTCAGTGTGATGGTTGGCCTCTGGGTGGAGAGTGCTTGTCAAGAGATCTAAGTCATGGAGAGACTCTCAAGGGGAATTTTTGGAGAAATGAGGCTGATTCAGGTCCACCCCAATATATCAACTCTAAGGAAGATTCTTTTAAAGTCAAGAACAGTATATAGGTTGGCACCAAACAAATATCAAAATTCTCTGCAACCTAAGAAAACAAAAGCGTTTTAAGATTTTCCCCAAATGTGCTTTGTATTATTTTGACAGACCCTGTTAAGCAAAAGTAAGAGATGTTTTGTTTAATTTATTTCAGTGCAGTTATTTGGTTGGTTTTGTTTTAAAGTAGTAGGGCTGAACTCAGCCTCATTGTTAGGTAGGCCCTCTATAACTTGCGCTATAACCTGACTCCCTTTTGCTTTAGATAAGGTCTTATGCTTTTTTTTTTTTTTCCTGGGCTAGCCTTGGACCTTAATCTTCCAACTTACACTTCCTGTGTAGCTGGGACTGCAGGCACCACCATGCTCAGCTTTTTTGTTGTTGAGATTGGGTCTCAATAACTTTTTGCCTGGGATGAGATCAAACTAAGATCCTCCCAGGCTTTCCCTTCAAGTAGCTATATCACAGGCACGAGCCACCTAGAAGTATATATTTATATTCATCATGGATACCAGCATTTTATTTTTACTAATCAATACTATGCTAAGTTCACTAATAAGTAGACAACTGGCCAAAAAAAGATTTCTAATATTACAGCTTCTATCCTTTGGAAATGACATGGAAGGATTTAGAGTGAGACTATGGAGGTCTTAAAGGTCATTTAAAAGACACCAATAAGCTCTGCATTTTAGACATGAGATAATATGAGTCCCTTCACAAGTCCCTTCAAGAATGATGGTGGAAAATCAGACCCTGATTGCTTGTAACACATGAGGTAAAGGTAGTAACAGTACACCATCAGCAGTTATACTGCACAAACAATGAAGAAGAGCAACTAGACTTCTCTTCCTAATTCTTTTTCTTGAGATGGATTCTTGATATTTAACATCAGAGCTAGGGTGTGGATCAAGTGGTAGGTCATCTACCTGGTGAAACTAGTACCAAACAAAGAAATAGAGATAAAGAGAAAGCGGGGGGGGGGGGGGGGGGGAAGAGAAGAGAAGAGGGAAGGAAGGAAACAAATAACATAAATACACTCACAGATGAGGAACTACTAGAGCTCTTGAAAAAGCCAGGTCAGAGATAGGCAGATGCTATTATTAACTCCTAGGCGTCTAGAACATGCTTAATCTCAAAGAACCCCAATTTTCCCACCTATGAAATTTCTTTTTTTTTTTTGTCGGTTGTGGGGCTTGAACTCTGGGCCTGGGCATTGTCCCTCAGCTCTTCAGCTCAAGGCGAGTGCTCTACCACTTGAGCTACAGCGCCACTTCCGGTTTTCTGGTGGTTTATTGGAGATAGGAGTCTCACGGTCTCTCCTGCCCGGGCTGGCTTTGAACCTCGATCCTCAGATCTCAGCCTCCTGAGTAGCTAGGATTACAGGCGTGAGCCACCAGCGCCCGGCCCCACCTATGAAATTTCTGAATGAGTTGATTGCTGATACTCTTTCTCCCTGTTGATTTGAGAATTCTCTTTTGTAAGTTTCTCATGGTTACACTGGCTCTGAGGTCTTCTTAGCATGGCAGATGTTATGTAATCCATGTCCACATACCTTCATTTTTCTAGCCAGGTGGAAGGGGGAGCATGCCTATCAGAGCTCGGCACTGAGTACCCCGGAGCCATGCTTACCTTGATGCCCCGGGTTTGACTCCCAGCATGTCCCAGCTATCTTTGCTATTGCGAATTCTGCGAATTGTGTCTGCTTGTTCTTTGGTGAAACTAGCACTGCTGTTTGTAGTTGGACGCTTCCCACCATTTTCACATAAGTCAACTATGGACACATAAAAGGTCTGCAAGAAGAAAACACAGAAAAACTGATTCTGCCAAAATAGGAATGCCTTTCAAGTGTCAACTTAATGATTTTCACGTACTTCACTAACACTGCAAAGTCACAAATAAAGCAAATGTGTACTTTGCAAGATTTTTTTTCTTTTATACTATTTAAATATCTGGCTTAGGTACTGTCCCTTAGCTTTTCCACTCAAGGCTGGTGCTCTACCACTTGAGCCACAGCTCCACTTCAGAGTAAAGAGTCCCACAGACTTTCCTGCCTAGGCTTCCTTTCCAAGTGTGTAGCTGGACTGTAATCTGCCCCTTTCAGGCTTCCTGTCATAGATAAGATCACAGCTTTACACTACCACACTCAGCTTCTTCCATGGAGATGAAATCCAGTGGACTTTCAGCCTACAGTTGGCCTAAAACCATGATCTTCCTAATATCAGCCTCCCATGTAGTTAGAATTACAAGCATGAGCCACCAGCACTCAGAACTTCTTTTGTATGTATGTGCTAGGATTTGAATTTAGGGCCTGGCACTGTCCCTGAGCTTTTTTTTTTTTTTTTTCTTCAAGTGGTAGAACACAGCTCAAGGCTGGTGTTCCACCACTTGAGCCTCAGCTCTACTTCTGGCTTTTTGGTGGTTAACTGGAGATGAGAACTGCCCCGTCTGGCTTTGAACCACAATCCTCAGATCTCATCCTCCTGAGTATCCAGCATTACAGGCATGAGCTACCCACACTTAGCATGGCTACAAACTCTTGATCCTCCTGTCTCAGCCTCCCAAGAGCCAGGATTATAGACATTGCCATCAAATATGGCTTGAAAATGTGTGTGTGTGTGTGTGTGCGTGTGTGTGTGTGTGTGTGTGTGTGTGTGTGTGTGTGTGTGTGTGTGTGTGTGTGTGTGTGTGTGTGTTTTGTTTGTTAGTGCTACTGGGGCTTGAACTCAAGGCCTCAGTTCACTAGACAGGCATTCTAACACTGAGCCAAACATTCAATCCTTTTTTGTTTGCTTATTTTGAGAAAGGTCTCACTTTTTGCCTGGAACAGGGTCTGAGTGCAGTCCTCCTATTTTATGCTTCCTCATGAAGCTAGAATAGATATGTTCCACCACATCCAGCTATCAGCTGAGAAGGGAGTCTTAATGAATTTCTACCCAGATTAGCCTGCCAATCCTAGGCTTCCAAGTAGCTTGAATATAGCTGGGAACCACCACATGTGGATTAAGAATGCACTATGAATGAGTGCACAGAGAATCTTAGCAGAGAATTAGGAATTATGCAAAAGAACCAAATGCAAATTCTAGAACTGCAAAGAACTAAATTAAAAATTCATTCAATGGGTTTAACATCAGATTGTTGAAAGAAGCATAGCCTTAGGAACTGTGGAACAAAATCAATGATCTAGTATAAGTGTAACTGGAAAGAAAAAAACAAACGAAAATAAGGCCACTTAATTTTTGATCTAAAAAAGAGAAAACGCCAGCATAAAAACCTAGCTACTGAGGAGGCTGAGATAGTTCAGAGCCAGTCCTAGCAAGCAAATCTCCAGTTAACCAGCAAGAAGCCAGAAATGAAGGTGTGGCTCAAAACCTCAATACCGGCATCAAGAAAAAAAAAAAAAAAAGCAAAAATAAAGTAAAATAAAACCTTCCCAATTTTGATGAAAACCATCTAGCTATCAACCTTTGAAAATCAACAAATCCCAAAGGGAATAAATGTGATGAGAACTACCCCTTGGTACATCATGGTATAATTGCTAACAACTAAAGTTAAAGGTAAATTAGTGTGCCAGGTGCTCATGCTTGTAATCCTAGTCCAAGCAAAGTTGGTAAGGCTCTTATTTCCAATTAACCTGCAAAAAGCTGAAAGTGGAGGTGTGGCTCAAGAGGCAGAAGCACGGCCTTGCTTAAAAAAGCTAAGCAAGAGTATAAGGCCTTGACTTTGGGCCCTGGTACTAGAATACTCTTTACCCCCCAAAAAGATAAATTATTCAAAGCAGCCAGAAGGGGTAAAAATATAATATTTATGAAGACTAAGATTGTGAACAGGTTCAACTTATGAGACACAATGGAGGCCAATGAGAATAAAATTTAATTTGTGGAGATGCTAATTACCCTGATTTGATCATAACAGATTGTATATATATCTAATTATTATGACACTCCCCATCAGTAATGTATAATTATAACAATAACATAAAACAGAATAAAAAAGAAATTTAATCTCTAACAGTTATTACTTACTCTCCTTAGACAAGTCACTTAGTAGATGTTCTCATGTATAAAAAGTGAATTATTTGCCACACTTTGTAAGTCTCAAAAGAGATAAAATATAAAGCATCTTCAGAATTGCAAAATACCATTGAACAGTTGAGAATCATTACTGCACACATAGACCTGTAAACTCAAATAGGTCTATGTATTCAAACAAATAGAAAGCATAGCAAATGAATATCAACCCTGACCCTGAAATAGAGTTCAGCCTGTCAGCCAAAAATGAAGCCTGTCTGATAGTAGGAGGGACAATATCTTCTAAGAGGAAACGCAGCATAAAAGATACAATACTGCTGGGTGCTGATGGCTCACACCTGTAATCCTAGCTACTCAGTAGGCTGAGATCTGAGGATTGCAGTTCAAAGCCAGCCCAGGGCAGGAACATCCTGAGACTCTTATTTCCAATTAACCACCAGAAAACTGGAAGTGGGCTGTTGCTCAAGTGGTAGAATCAATAATTGAGAACAACTCGTTATAGTAATAGCTATATTACTGGAAATGTTAGAAATAGCCGAACTATCAGCTATAGTCCTAAGAAAAATTATTCATACCATCTCTCACAAACATACCTATAATTAAGAGTTGACTTTATAACTTTATGTTTTAAAAAGCCTCCTTCACTTAAAGTTATTCAAAGTTAGCAGGTTTTAAAGAGTGACCATCAGCTGGCTGCTGGTGGCTCACACTTGTAATCCTAGCTAAAGAAGCTGAGATCTGAAGATCACGGTTCAAAGCCAGCTTGGGCAGGAAAGTGCTTATCTCCATTTAACCACCAGAAAACCGTAAGTGACACTGTGTGTCTGATCGCTAGCCTTGAGCAAAAGAGCCTAGGGATAGTGCCCAGGCCCTGAGTTCAAGCCCCACAACCAACCAAAAAAAAAAAAAGTCAAAAACCCATAACCATCACTGGGTACCAGAGGCTCATGTAATCTTAATCAGAAGTCAAAGATCCAGAATTGGCAATTCAAAGCCAGCCTCATCAGAAAAGTTTGAGAGATTCTGTTTCCAAAATAACCAGCAAAAAAAAAAAACAGGCTAAAGGTATGACTCAAATTGTAGAGTACCAATTGAGCAAGCATGAAATCCTGAGTTCAAACCCTAGCACCAGGAAAAAAGAAAAAAAGAAAAACAATGACCAACTATTCAGGTTGATTGCTTCCCTGCTGACCTCATTTTTATGCGGTTGGCTAGATTCTGCATTGACCATCTTGAAAAAAATCTTCTGTTTCACTTTAAGTAATACACTAACTTGTAGACTTGATGGACCTCAGAATCACCTGGAGAGCTTTTCCAAAATATCGATTCCTAGGTTTCATTACAACTTTCAACTTCCAATAGGTCTGGAACCTAGAAATCTATATTTTGAATAAGTCCCAGTATTCTGATTATCAGCAAGGTCTGATCTGTAATAGACTGCATGCAGATATCACATACACACACAACCTTCTCACTATCTTATCTCTCTTTCTCTAAATAATTATATCAATCTATCTATAGCTTCTTTGAAAAGAATTTGTTCTAATGAAAAACTATTACTACTTTGCTAAAAAATTGGTACTACTGATCTTGATTCAAACTGTAAAATAGCAAAATGTTCATTTACCTGAAACATCTCATTGATACCTTCTCCAGTTTGTGCTGAAGTTTCAAAATACAGAAACCCTTTACTTTCAGCCCAGAGACGCCCTTCACTTTCATCAATGCAGCGATGCTTCGTGCAGTCGATCTGAAATAAAGTCAGTGACAGAGAGGATTCCTGATATCCCATTAGAATAGGCCAGAGGAGGCCTTGTCAATCCTCTACTGATGCAAAACAAATCAAAAACAAAGCTTTTTTGTGTGTGCTGGTCCTGGCGTTTGAACTCAGGTCTCTGGCACTGTCTCTGAATTTTTGTGTTCAAGGCTAGTGTACTACAACTTAGTCACAGTGCCATTTTCATTTTTTTTGGTAGTTAATTGGTGGTAAGAGTCTCAGACTTTCCTGCCAAGGCTGGTTTTGAACTGCAATCCTCAGGGCCCAGCCTCCTGAGTAGCTAGGATTATAGGCATAAGCTACTGGCACCATGCAAAGCAAAACATTTTTTTTGTTGTTGTTGTTGGTCATGGGGCTTGAACTCTGGGCCTGGGCGCTGTCTCTCAGCATTTCAGCTCAAGGCGAGCACTCAACCACTTGAGCCACAGTGCCACTTCCGGTTTTCTGGTAATTTATTGGAGATAAGAGTCTCACGGACTTTCCTGCCCGGGCTGGCTTTGAACCGTGATCCTCAGATCTTAGCCTCCTGAGTAGCTAGGATTACAGGCGTGAGCCACTGGTGCCCAGCAAAGCAAAACATTTTTTAATAATTTTTTATTGTAAAAATACTGTACAAAGCCGGGCACCAGTGGCTCACACCTGTAACCCTAGATACTCAGGAGGCAGAGATCTGAGAATCATGGTTCAAAGCCAGCCCGGGCAGGAAAGTCCGTGAGACTCTTATCTCCAATAAACCACTAGAAAACCATAAGTGGTGCTGTGGCTCAAGCAGTAGAGCGCACGACAAAAAACAATGGACAAAAAAAAATTGGACACAGGGGTTACAGTTACATGAACAAGGTAATGAGCATATTTCCTATCAAGCATTATTACTTCTCCTTTGTTTTTCCCCTACCATCTCTTCTCTCTCTCCCACCTCCATGACTACACCCCCTCTCCCCGACCCTCCCCACCTAAATTGTAAAGTTCATTTTTCAACATAGTGTCTTGTGCATCTTATTGTTACAATGGGCCAACCTGTATCCCTATTTAAGCATTTTGTTTTTTCCCTTCCCCTCACCAAATTAGAAAAGTGTATATACAAGATGCAGGGTACCAACATCAAATACAGTGAAAACAGGGGTTATACCATGGGGGAAGAACATACAAAAAAACAAACAAAAAAAAAATCACATGGTACGTTACAAATACATTAGAAACAATAGCAAGAAGAAAAAAACCACTTGTGTCCCTATCTTGGGGTTCATTTCGCTTAACAACATCTTATCTGGTCATATGTACATAGCATTTGACCTTTTCTACTTATCCCAAACATATACTAGCAAATAAGGGAAACCATGGGACCTATGTTTCTTTGGGTCTGGTTTCCCAGTCTTTCCATTTCCTAACAAAAGGGGCGATGTCATTCTTTCTGATGGAGGCATAGAATTCCATTATATATATATATCTAGAATATATATCACATATTCTTGATCCATTCATCTACTGAGGGGCATCTTAGCTATGGTAAATAATGCAAAGCAAAACATTTTTAATGAGCTCTACCAAACCAAAAGAACCAAAAAGAATAATAAAACTGACTGTAACTGATTTTTGTCTGATTTTCTATCATACATCCTACTTCCTCCCTTGGTAGAGCAGCTACTACCTTTGTGAAAGGGGCTTCATGACCTGCCACACCCAGGGAGCTGCTGTCTACTTTCTGCACCTTTCCATGGTCTACATATCCTGCATGCTCTTTCTCCCAGCAGGTCAGGGTTTGATTATCAGGCTCTAGAGCTTCTGCTCAGTCCTCAACCTGTGTCCTTAAGTAGAATACTAGAAAAATAAAACAAAATAAAAAGTTTGATGGTACTTTTCTGGTTGTTTTGGTTTTGTCTTCAGACATTCCTTTTTTTTTTTTTTTTCCTTCAGTCCTGGGGCCTGGGCACTGTCCCTGAGCCTCTTTGTGCTCAAGGCTAGGGCTCTACCATTTGAGCCACAGCGCCACTTCCAGCTTTTTTTGGGTAGTTTATTTGAGATAAGAGTCTCATGGGGACTTTTCTGCTGGGGCTGGCTTCAAACCACAATCAGATCTCAATCTCCTGAATAGCTAGGATTATAGGCATGAACCACTGGTGCCAGGCTTACAGGCATGTCTTACTGAAAGGTGGGTGATTCTATGTCAAAGAATAAAAAACCTTAGGGCTGAGCTGTCCCTTTTCCCTAGGAAGCTGAGTGGTTACCTTGTTGGCACACACCACAAATATAATATTGTCCATATTTCCATGAGGCCCAAGCTCCTGCTTCATTTCTGCCAGCCATGCATCAAGGGCATCGAAGGAGTCTTTCTGCCCAACGTCATAGACCAGAATCACGCCCTGTGTGTCCTTGTAGAATTCATTGCGCACCTTCAGATGGAAGGACAGATGCATAAGATGAGGTTCTCCAATTTCATAAGAATGTATCTTCCAGTCATTAACTCAGCAAGTATATTCTTTCGTGTACTCAGTACTTAAATCTCCATATTTACTGTTTTTTAGAGGTTTTTTGTTTTTTACAAAAATCAAAGTAACATAAAAAAACTAAATTAAAGTTCAAGTACTGGCACACACATGCAAAATCTCCTAGTACACAAAGTCTCATAGCAGAAAGCCAGGGCATCTTGCTTCAGCCCTCTCCACCTCCAACTCCACGGCCAGAGGCAATCACTAGCTAACTGTTCATAGACCTTAAAGGAATACCATCATGCCAAGCTCTTTTTACAAAGATAAACAATTAAAAAATTTTAAGGTAAAAATGACACAAATATCCACAGTTGGTACAGCCATTGAGATATTAAATCCTTATGCTGGCTTCTTCCAGGATGCTATAAAGAGCTCCAGGGAGTTTGATGGAGGAAGGGTTTGTATAACAACTTTCAAAACTCCAAATTCAGAGCCTTGGCATAATGGGATAGCAAGGAACACAGGCTTTGGAGACAGACAGACATGGGTTCACACTTACTGGCTTCATGATCCTAGACTAGTCATTTAATTTTCTGTGTCTCAGTATTCTCATCAGTATAATGAGGACAATACTACTTGCTTCAGTTAGTATGAGAACTAAGTGAAATAATGAAGGCAAAGCACTTAGTATGGTGTCTAAAAAGCTATGTGTATCGGCACTGCCTTCCTTCTGTCCTGTGCCCATTGTCTGATGATTCTCAATGTTCTATCAGAAATGGCAACCTGGCCTGGCACTGGTGGCTCATAGTGTAATCCTATGCTACTCAAGAGGCTGAGATCTGAAGATCTCTGTTCAAAGCCAAAAGGTTAGGCCAATGGCTAAAGGGCCTGGCGGGAAAGTGTGGTGTCCTGGGTTAAAACCTCAGGACCAGTGACTCATGCCTGTAATCTTAGCTAATTAGGAGGCTGAGATCTGAAAATCACAGTTCAAAGCCAGCCCAGGTAGGCAAGTCCATGAGACACTTATCTCCAATTAATCATCAAAAAGCCCAAAGTGGAGCTGTGGTTCAAGTGAGCACTAACCTTGAGCAAAATAGTTCAGAATCAGCTCCTAGGCCCTAAGTTCAAGCCCAAGACTTGAACACACACACACACACACACACACACACACACACACACACACACACACACCAATTACATTTCCTATCCCTATTTAAGGATAACATAAAAGACTAATGGGTTCCTATCAAGTTAAATCTCAGAAGGCAAGCCACAAACATGATTAATTTCACACACAATTCCAATATTGGTTGTTTTAAGTAACTCTCAAAATCACTTTCCCTGGTGTTCCCAAACACTGACAATACTGAATAGAAGGTTTCCTTACCTCATAGAAGAAGGGATGGCCAGCCATATCAAAGATGTTGACTTTGATTTCTCTATCTCTGACTTGTACTCTGAAATGTTCAAACAGAAACAATCCCAAAGGAGGTCACGGTTTCCATTTCTTTTTTTTTTTTTTTTGGGTCCGGTCGTGGGGCCTGAACTCTGGGCCTGGGCGCTGTCCCTCAGCTCTTCAGCTCAAGGCTAGCGCTCTACCACTTGAGCCATAGTGCCACTTCCGGCTTTTTTGTTTTTTGCTTATGTGGTGCTGAGGAATCGAACCCAGGGCCTCAAGCATGCAAGGCAAGCGCTCTACCACTGAGCCACCTTCCCAGCACCACGGTTTCCGTTTCTGTCAGTTATGAATTTGAGAAGGATCTGTGTGTGAAATTTCAAAGAGGCTTTCTCTATGCCTCCTTCTGAGTCCAGATAATCTTTACCACAGGAGCCAGCAACCGGCAGACTGCCCTGCTGCCATGCTTTGTGAACACTGAGCTGACCTGGAGCAAATACCGTCATGACTTCAAGATAATTCAGTCCACAATCCTGAACCAATCAACTGTGGCTACTACTATGGTATTAAGAAAAATTTATTCAGGATAATCAGGAATAAGATAAAGGAGAAGAAAAAGCCGGGTGCCCGGTGGCTCATACCTGTAATCCTAGCTACTCAGGAGACTGAGATCTGAGGATCACGATTCAAAGCCTGCGAGACTCTTATCTCCAATAAACCACTAGAAAACTGGAAATGGTGCTGTGGCTCAAGTGGTAGAGTGCTCGCCTTGAGCTGAAGAGCTGAGGGACAGCGCCCAAGCCCAGAGTTCAAGCCCCACGACCGACCAAAAAAAAAAAAAAAGTTTCAATTTACTAGGATAATTTTTATTTTTTCCCCAATACTGGGGAATGATTTCAGGGTTTCAAGCTTGCTAGACAAGTGCTCTACCATTTCAGTCATGCCCCCAGTCCCACTAAGATATCTTAATCATCACTGGTTATATTTGGTTACCATACAATAGAAGAATACATATATATGTTAATAGTACTGGTCTAATTCTCTTGTGATTGTCATTAGAAAAAGAGCAATAGTCAATTTGTTTGCTTTTCTGAAACAAATTGGAAAATAAGAGAACCAAAGGGCAAACAATAACAATTCCAAAAGAATGAACAACTATTAGTATCATGGAATGTTCCTTCCTAGTTTTTTTCTGAGAAAATTGAAAAACACTTAATGAATAATTAAAACCTTAAGGAAAACCACAAATATTTAAAAGATGAACATTTAAGTTATCCCAAATCCTACCACCTACAACCTTCATTAATATAAATATAGCTATAGACTATTTTCTATGCATAGATAAGACTGATAGACATAGTCTTATAAAAGTGGGATTATACTATTATAACTAACCTGAACTTTACTTTTTTTTTTTTTTGGTCCGGTCATGGGGCCTGAACTCTGGGCCTGGGCGCTGTCCCTCAGCTCTTCAGCTCAAGGCTAGCGCTCTACCACTTGAGCCACAGCGCCACTTCCGGCTTTTTTCTTCTTGTTTATGTGGTGCTGAGGAATCGAACCCAGGGCCTCATGCATGCAAGGCAAGCGCTCTACCACTGAGCCACCTTCCCAGCCCTGAACTTTACTTTTTAATTGAATTTAAAAGAAAAAGAGACTAAATGAACTGAGAGGAAATTACTACACTTTAAACGTTAATGTTTCCTCAGCACAAGAAATGATTTCCTAAAACACCCTTCAAAGTTTATGAGTAGAGAATATTAACAGTAAATAAACAGTAGAGTCATTATGCCTTCTTAGTAACATGTTTTGGGTTTTGACATTATGACATGACTCCTTACTATGGAACTTGAGGGTCTCAGCACCTGCTCTCAATGTCCCTCTATTGCTTCCTGTTTTATTTATCCTCACTCCCTGTCCAAGTTTATAGCATTGACTTTCTGATCTGAAATCCCTATTCCTACAGTTGTTTTATACCTATATGTTTAGATTAACCTAGTCTCTAATCATCTGATCATGATTTTTTTTTTTTGTCGGTTGTGGGGCTTGAACCCTTTGCCTAGGCGCTGTCCCTGAGCACTTCAGCTCAAGGTGAGCACTTTACTGCTTGAGCCACAGTGCCACTTCCGGTTTTCTAATAGTTTATTGGAAATAAGAGTCTCAAGGACTTTCCTGCCCAGGCTGGCTTTGAACCATGATCCTCAGATCTCAGCCTCTTGAGTAGCTAGGATTACAGGCGTGAGCCTCCAATGCCTGGTTCCAATCATGATTTTTTTCACACCTGAATTGTTGTTTTTTTTTGTTTTGGCCAGTCCTAGGATTGAATTCAGGGCCTGGGCACTGTCCCTGAGTTTCTTTTGCTCAAGGCTAGCACTCTACCACTTGAACCACAATGCCACTTCTGGCTTTTTCTGCATAGGTGGTACTGAAGAATCAAACCCAGCCTTCATGTATGCTAGACAAGCACTCTACCACTAAGCCACATTCCCAGCTTGGCACACCTGAGTTTTCTACCCACATTCCATCAATTCTAAGGTACCTATTTGTTTCCATTTTAACATCTCTGTGAAGTCAGGATCCATCTCACAAAAGAGAATAGGAGAAAACATATGAACACAATGGCACAATAGTGAAAGCAAAACAATACTGATTTAGCTCACTGTTAAGATTACAAAAACAATGAAGCTTGAAAGTTTCTGGAAAAGATACAAGAATTTGTATTCTTCTTCTTATTATGATTTTACTTTGAGAAGTCAGAAGCTGAAGAGATGGAACCTATAAAATCTGCAAAGTCAGGAAGCAACACAAATGTCTTCACATAAGGAAATCTAAAAGAGGGCAGCCTAATTACTTATCCCATCCCTAAGAAACCCAGAAATGGAGCTGTGGCTTAAGAGGTAGAGTACTAGCTTGAGCAAAAAGAACTCAAGGACAGTGCCCAGGCCCTGAGTTGAAGCCCCAGGACAAGCAAAAAAAAAAAGAAAAGAAAAAGAAAATTACTGGCAGAGAGTAAGTAGAAATGGGGTAAAAGGGATGGCAGATGTATTATGTACAGTTTTGGCTTTAGAACTGTATTAATGTTTTATGCACTATTAATATTTTATATATGCACTGAATGAAGTATTACATAGTTAAATTTATATCAATAAGATACGAATAAACCTCAAAAGTGAATACAAAGAGAAATAAAAAATAAAAACCCACAAAACTTCCTTAAATGTGGTCTACCACATCATTACAGGAAATAGAAAAAAAAACAGAAAGTGTGTTATAAACTGATTGGTTGAATTGAGGACTACTTAAAGATAATAAAATATAAATTAATTTAAAAAGGAAATGTGTATTTCAAGTGAAGAGCTTCATATATTACATAGTAAAGAGGCTACAATTTTCTCTGTGTGTATGTGTGTGTGTGTGTGCGCGCGCGCACACGTGCACGCACATGCACGTACTCCAGTCCTGGGACTTGAACTAAGGGCCTTGGCAGTATTATTGAGCTTTTGTGCTCAAGGATAACATTCTACTACATGAGCAACAGCTCTACTTCTGGCTTTTCTGGCGACTAATTGGACTTGTCTGCCCCAGGCTGGGGGGCTTTGAACCAAGACCTTCAGAGTTCAGCCTCCAGAATAACTAGGATTACAGATATGAACCACCAATGGCTGGCTATAATTTTCTTTCTTTTTTTTTTTTTTTTTTGGTCCGGTCATGGGGCCTGAACTCTGGGCCTGGGCGCTGTCCCTCAGCTCTTCAGCTCAAGGCTAGCACTCTACCACTTGAGCCACAGCGCCACTTCCGGCTTTTTTCTTTTTGCTTATGTGGTGCTGAGGAATCGAACCCAGGGCCTCAGGCATGCAAGGCAAGCACTCTACCACTGAGCCACCTTCCCAGCCCCTGGCTATAATTTTCATAAGGAAAAGTTGCTGTAATAGACTCTGCTGCTGTCTGAAAATGGTGATGTTGCAAGAACTCTTGATTTTATCTTGCTATGTATTTGAACTATTTTAATTATAGTCACGAAAGATACCTGAACTCAACTCTGTCCTTCATCTAATTGTAATTCAGGTCAGATATACTTTTGCCACTTTTGTCAACCCACTTGAATATTGCTCTCAGATTTGAATCTGGCAAACTTCCTTTTTAGATGTACCTAATTTATGCAACAAGATATATCTATTAATCATCTAAAGGCACTATATATAAGCACATCAGTAATCTAAAGAACTTTAACATTTGCCATTAGCATAAAGGACCTGGCGAATAGAGAGGATGTTCAGAAGCCTTAAAAAACTCAGACATTTTACTCTCTAATGAAAAATGGCAGTGGAGAGATGAAGGGACAGAGTCATAGCAGCACTGAAAAGGGAACAGGAGGCAGCAGTTCAGGGCAGACAGAATGGAAGGGTGGGGGAAGAATAGGGAGCACTGGCAAGCGCATGATTAGGGAGTATGCTGCCCACCCCAATTCTACTCTTTGGTAGTGTTATTCCTGCTCAAACTCAGCCTTCTTAAGGCTCAATTCCAATTCAGTTCCCACTGTCACTCAATTTTATTGTTCCTAGATCATTTGTACTTGTTTTTTTTTTTTTTTTTTTTGGTCCGGTCGTGGGGCCTGAACTCTGGGCCTGGGCGCTGTCCCTTAGCTCTTCAGCCCAAAGCTAGCACTCTACCACTTGAGCTACAGTGCCACTTCCGGCTTTTTTCTTTTTTCTTATGTGGTGCTGAGGAATCGAACCCAGGGCCTCAGGCATGCAAGGCAAGCGCTCTACCACTGAGCCACCTTCCCAGCCCTGTACTAGATTTCAATACATAAAAATCACATACTAATAATGGAAGTTTTGAATAGAAATTTCCAACTAAAATACTTGTTTCAGGAAGAATTTTTTCCATCATGGGCTTGATCTCAGGGCATGGGCACTATCTCTGAGCTTTTTCACTCAAAGCTAGCACTCTACCACTTTGAGCCACAGCACCACTTCTGGTTTTCTGGTGGTTAGTTAGAGTTAAGCATCTCATGGACTTTCTCACCCAGGCTATCTTCGAATTGTGATTCCCAGATCTCAGCCAACTGAGTAGCTAGGATTATAGGGGTGAACCACTGGCACCCAGCAGGAAGAATATTTTTCAATGTTCTAGAAACATCCCTGCTGGTAGGACCTGCTTATACAGAACATGTTTCCTGAGAGGTTCATCTGCCAGTTACACTCTGTGTTGACTGGCTCAGCACAGTCCACCTCTACCACAAGGCCTGTTAGTGCTCAATACATTGGCTGGATGAAGGAAGGATATGAGGTCTGTTAGTTCTGTCTTTTCTCATTTATCTTTAAAGTCTCTATTCCAAAGATAACCTGCACACATCCATAGATGCAAGTACAGATCATTTTAGGAGTTCTCAATTTCTGTGTCATTTATAAGCCAGGGAAACAAAATACTCACTTTGTGACTCCATAGTCAATTCCAATTGTTGCAAGGTATTTAGACACAAATCTTTTCTCACAGTACCGCTTTATAATACAGCTCTGAAACAGTAAAAATGCATTTCACTTAGTAAATACATACTGAGATAGATATATGAGATAGACACAGCTCTTTGTTATGGTTTCTTCATTCACTACTATGAAAAAGAAGTGTTTTCAAAAGCCAAAACTATAAAATAACTGAAACAAATCCCAAAAGTAAACATTTTAAAGAATATTTATTTATTTATTTATTTATTTTGTCAGTCGTGGGGCTTGAACTCTGGGCCAGGGCACTGTCCCTCAGCTCTTCAGCTGAAGGCTAACACTCTACCACTTGAGCCATAGTACCATTTCCGGCTTATGTGGTGCTGAGGAATCAAAACCAGGGCCTCAGGCATGCAAGGCAAGCACTCTACCACTGAGCCACCTTCCCAGCCCGAATATTTATTTTATATTCTTGTCTTAATACTAACTAGGTTTGAACTCAGGGCCTAATCCACTTGCTTGGTTTGTTTGCTAAGCTGGCATTCTACCACATGAGCCATGCTTCCCACCCAACTGTTTTTGTGTACCAATACTGGGGCTTAGAACTCAGGGCCTGGTCACCATAGGTTAGATTTTGTACTCAAGGCTGTTGCTCTACTACTTGGGCTCCACTTCTGGTTTTTGTGGTTAATTTGAGATAAGAGTCTCACAGACTTTCCTGTCCAGGCTGGCTTTGAACCATGATCCTTAGATCTCAGCCTCCAGAGTAGCTAGGATTACAGGCATGAGCAATTAGTGCCTTGCTTATAACTTCTTTTGTTTTTGTGGTGGAGGCTTGAACTTAAAACCTCTAGCTACAATTCTAAAATGGAGACACACACACACACACACACACACACACACACACACACACACACACACACACACACACACACACACACACACACACACACACACACACACACACACACACACACACACACACACACACACACACACACACACACACACACACACACACACAGCCTTTGTTTTTATTTTGAAATAAGAGTGTGCTAATTTTGCCCGGGCTGGTCTCAAACTCTAAGTGGCATGTACTATCATACCCAGACCCTTTTGCCACTCTGTCTTTTTTTAAATTTTAAATACTAGTCCTGGGGCTTGAAAGCAGGGCATAGAGGTTGTCCCTGAGCTTTATTTGCTCAAGGCTAGCACTCTATCATTTGAGCCCAGCACCACTTCCAGATTTGTTTGAGTTTATTCTCTAGTAAGAGTCTTACATACTCTCTAGCTTGGGCTCAAATCCTCAAATCTCAAATCCTCAAATCTGTCTCCTGAGTAGCTAGAATTACAGGTGTGAGCCACTGTACCTGATTCCTTTTGTCACTTTAAAATGTTCCTCATATAACTGGATTTGTTTGGGGCTCTATTCTGTTCTACAGATCTATTTGTCTATTTTTATACCAAAGTAATACTTTTCTCTGTTAGAAGTAATAAGGTTTGAACTCAGGGCCTTATGCTTTACCAGGCAGGTAACTCTAGTGCTAAGCTATGCCACTTACTCTTCCTCATACAGGTTGTTTTTAAGGTAGGTCTCACTTCCTACTGAGGCATGCACCTGGGCCATGATCTTATTTTTTTGGGGGGGAGGGTCTGGTTGTGGGGCCTGAACTCTGGGCCTGGGTGCTGTCCCTCAGCTCTTCAGCTCAAGGCTAGTGCTCTACCATTGAGCCACAGCGCCACTTACGGCTTTTTTTTTTCTTTTTTCTTATGTGGTGCTGAGGAATCGAACCCAGGGCCTCATGCATGCAAGGCAAGCGCTCTACCACTGAGCTACCTTCCCAGCTGGTGGTCCTATTTTTTTATTTTTTGCTTCCCTCCACAGTTGGTATGACAAGTGTATATCATAACACACAACATTTTCTGTTGAGATGGAGTTGCACAGAATTTTTGCCAGGACTAGTCTTGAACCACAATGCTCATGGCTTTCAACCTCCCAAGTATAGGAGTGGACCACTTGTGCCCAGCTTGTAGTACTTCTTTGATTTGTTTTAGTCTGTAATATATCTGTCTAGGCAAATTCTCTTTCTACTATCCTACTTCATTTTTCTTTTCCATTCTTTGACTAGTCATTCTGAGATAGCTATTCTTTCATATGCATTTTAGAATAATTCTACCTAAAAAAGCTCTGGGGATATACAGTTCAGTGGTAAAACACTTGCCTAGCATTCATAAGTCTCTAGATTCAATCCCATCACCAGAGAAAGGAAGGGAAAGGAAGGGAAGGGAAGGGAGGGGAAAGAACAAGAGAAAGAAGAGAAGAGAAGGGAAGAGAAAGGAAAGGAGGAAGGAAGGAAGGGAGGGAGGGAGGGAAGGGAGGGAGGGAGGGAAGAAGGAAGGAAGGAAAAGAAAGGGTCAGACTCATCCCTATTTTCAATGGCACTATATTAAATTTGTATATTAGCTTTGGAAACACTGGTGTTGCCATAATGTCTTCTGGCAAAAGAACATGATTTTTCCATTTGCTTAGATTTTGTTTGATGTCTTTCAATTATTTTGGCTTTATTCAGGTAAGTACTATATATCTCCCTAATGTATTATAGGTTTCACTATTATAAGTGGAATATCTTTTTTCATTTCCATTTTTAGATTTGTTAATGTGATTTATTAGTTTTTATGCATTTATGTCATATTACTCTACCACAGCCTCTAATTAATTAAACTAGATTAAAGAATCTTTCAGATATTCTATATATAATGTAAAATAGCAACACATAATTTTTCTTTTTTAACATTTATACCAGTTATTTCAATTTTTTGTTACATCTCTAGAATTTCTAAAACAATGTTGAATAATAAGAATAGTAGGTATTCTTTTTTTGTAGCTATTTACTAGAAATGATCTTAGTGTTTTACCAACTGGCATGACATTTACTGTTAGTTTATAATAATTTTTTACTGTACTTTAATTATTTGCATTTTATTATGATTTTGCTTATGGTTATCAAGATCTACTACTGGACTATATGAAATGTTTTACAGCACTGAAAGCATCATGTAACTTTTCTGCACTAATTTGTTGATGTAACAAATTACATGGATTCTGTTCTGCATATTGAACCATATTTGCAATCCTGAAACAAACCTTCTTGTGAAAGAATGAATTCTTTGATACACTGAGTTCTACTTGCCAACATGTACCTATGAAATTGGTATATACACTTTTCTTTGATACTACAAATTTTAATATTTAAGCTACAATAATGAGTTGGGATGCTGTTTTATCTTTTTCTTGGGCCTGGAATAACCTAATTCAAATTATTTAAATTTAAATTAATTCAAATGACTTAAAATACATAATTCAATTCATTTATTTCTTGGGCCAGTACTGGGGTTTGAACTTAGGGCCTAGATGCTGTCCCTGAGCTTTTTTTTTTTTTTTTTGGGGGGGGGGTCCGGTCATAGGGCCTGAACTCTGGGCCTGGGCGCTGTCCCTCAGCTCTTCAGCTCAAGGCTAGCACTCTACCACTTGAGCCACAGTACCACTTCTGGCTTTTTTTCTTTTTGCTTATGTGGTGCTGGGAAATCGAACCCAGGGCCTCATGCATACAAGGCAAGCACTCTACCACTGAGCCACCTTCCCAGCCCTGTCCCTGAGCTTTTGTGCTCAAGTCTAGCAGTTTACCACTTGAGCCACAGCTCCGTTTCTGGCTTTTTGGAGGTTAAGTAGAAATAAGAGTCTGATGGACTTTCATGCCAGGATAGGCTTTAATCCATGATCCTCAGCTCTCAGCCTCCTTGGTAGCTGGGATTACAGGTATGAGCCACTGGAACCTGACTTCAACTTCTTTTTTGAATTAATTTTAGTAACTTATACTTAGCTAGGAAATCCTGCATTCCTTAGTCATTCTTACCTTCTTTTCCAATACATTCTTATCTCCTTTTCAATATTAATCTTGTAATTCTTTTTTTCTAGTTTTCTTACATATATTTTTAGGCAGTTTTCATCTTCATTAATTTTTCCAAATAATTTTCTTTTCTTCAGTTATTATTAATTGGTGGTACTGGAGTTTGAACTCAGAGCCTCATACTTGCTAGACAGGTATTCTACAACTGAGCCGCTACTCTACCAGCTGTTTGGATTTTAGTTTTTTTGGTGCTGGCCTCAGGACTTAAACTCAGGGCCTAGGCATTGTCCATGGTTCAAAGCCAGCACACGCAGGAAAGTCCATCTGATTCTTATCTCTAATTTATCCCTAAAAAGCCAGAAGTGGAAGTTGTGGATCAAGTAGTAGCGTACTAGATTTGAACAAAAAAGCTAAGGGACAATGCCCAAGACCTGAATTCATGCGCACGCGCGTGCGGCAGACAAACGAGACAGACAGACAGACACACATCTGATAATTAGCCTCCTCTTATTTTTCTTTTCATATTTTCTTGGGTAGTCATATATTTTTCTTTCTTTTTTGTTTTTTTTTTTGTCAGTTGTAAGGTTTGAACTCAGGGCCTAGGTGCTGTTCCCTTTGTGCTCAAGGCTGAAGCTCTACCATATGAGCCACAGCGCCACTTCTGGTTTTTGAGTGGTTAATTGGAGATAAGTCTTATAGGAACTTTCCTGTCTGGACTGGCTTCAAACCCCCATCCTCAGATCTGAGTTTCCTGAGTAGACTTGCAGGTGCGAACCACCAGCACCCAGCATATTTTTCTTTTTTATGTTTACCTTTTCATAAGGACTTAAGTAAATTTATTATACCCTGAAAAAGAAAGCTTAACTGGTGTTTTAACTAGAATTGAATTAAATTTGTATATTAAATAAGTGACATACAATATTGAATGCTCTAAGGGAAAAGTTTATCTTTCCATTTGCCTAATTGCATATCCCTCCACAGAATTTAAAACTTTTCTCCATTTAAGTCCCTTCCTATTTCTTTGTATAAACCTAAGTATTTTACATTGGTCATTATTTACCTTGTTTATTATTGTAAAATTGGCCATGCATTAGGGGCTCATGCCTATAATCGTAGCTATCCAGGAGGCGGCTGAGATCTGAGGAACACGGTTAAAAAAGTCAGCCTGGGCAGACAAATCCATAAGGCTTTTATTTCCAATTAACCAGCAAAAACCTAGAACTGGTAGAGCAGCAGCTGTGAGAAGGGAGCCATTTGGAGGCCCAGAGTTCAAGTCCCAGTCCCAGCACCAAATAAATAAATAAATAAATAAATAAATAAAATAAATCAATTATGTATTTCAGTAGCCTTTAACTCCAATTTCCTGCATGGGGAGAAGGAAATTGTTTGTTTGTTTTTTTTGGGTCCGGTTGTGGGGTCTGAACTCTGGGCCTGGGTGCTGCCCCTCAGCTCTTCAGCTCAAGGCTAGCGCTCTACCACTTGAGCCACAGCGCCACTTCCGGCTTTTTTCTTTTTACTTCTGTGGTGCTGAGGAATCGAACCCAGGGCCTCATGCATGCAAGGCAAGTGCTCTACCACTGAGCCACCTTCCCAGCCCCAAGAAGGAAATAGTTTTTTTCTCTAACCTAGTTCTTTGAGCCATGTAGTTCTCTCTGTGTGTGTGAGAAAGTGAGTACACACACACAAACACATGATCTAAATGGTATAAAAAGCTATTCATTTATGCATAATTTGGCATGATTGTTTTATTGTTTCTAGCAGTTTTTCGGTTTTTCTTCTTCTTCTTTTTTTTTTTATCGGTCGTAAGGCTTGAACTCTGGGCTTGAGTGCTGTCCCTACGCTCTTAGCTTGAGCCACAGCGCCACTTCCAGTTTTCTAGTGGTTTACTGGAGATAAAAGTCTCACTGACTTCCCTGCTGGGGCTGGCTTTGAACCCTGATCCTCAGATCTCAGCCTCTGGAGGAGGATTCAAGGTGTGAGCCACTGGTGCCCAGCTTTTGGTTAATCTTTCTTTTAGTCTCATATCATTAACAAATAATGATCATTTTGCCTTCATCTTGTAAATATTTTCTTTCTCTTGTCTAATTTCATTTGCTAGTAAACAGTATTACATATATGTGGTTACACTGGGTATTTTGCAATGTTGCTAATGAGCCATTATAAATGTAGTAAAATTACAAATGTGATACACACTCATTTAGCCAGCTTAGTATATAACTTGAGACTTTTTAACTTTCTTGCTAATGTCTGGTACATAGTTGACATTCAATAAAGTTTGACCTACAGAAGATAGTCTGTTAATACCTCCACACACAGAGATGAGTAGTACACATACAGAGAAAACATTAATAAACATTTCCTGGACATCTCTTATGTGAGGGCCTAAACACTGTCATCAACTGCTGTTTTGCACTTAAGGAGTTGATTTTTTTTTTTTTTTTGCCAGTCCTGGGGCTTGAAATCAGGGTCTGGGCACTGTCCCTGAGCTTCTTATGCTCAAGGCTACCACTCTACCACAGTGTGACTTACGGATTTTTCTGTTTATGTGGTACTGAGGAATCGAACTCAGGGCTACACACATGCTAGGCAAGCACTCTACCACTAAGCCACATTCCAGGCCCCAAGGACTTGATTTTTTAAATTAGTTAATTTTTTATTGTCTTCAAATAAGTTATACAAAGGGCTTTCAACATGTCATTTTATGAGTACAAGCATCTTGACCAATGTCACTGCTTTCATAATTCAGGGAGTTGATTCTGCCAGCATTCAACGGTGGAAACAGCAATGCCTTTAGGAGGGTGAAGACTTAGGATCTGTCACTGATGACCTTGGGTGTTCTTAACCAACAGCTTCCACTTAGCCAAGAGTGACAATTGTGGTGAAGAAGAAACAGTCTCAGAATTCATGTGGGAACAGGCCCCAGGTTACCTCTGATTTTTCCCTTCTCCATGCTAAGGAAATTTATAGCTGATACTCAGCAGAGAGCAGAGAGTAAAAGCAGTGGAAAACAGGCTTCTTTAAGAAAGTAGACATGGATGCTACCATATATTTTTTTAAAAAGTAGCAGATCCTCGCCACCCGCCTCCCCTGTGAACCATGCCTCTTTAGTTATAAACGCTCTCAAGAAGCCGGGCGCTGGTGGCTCACGCCTGTAATCCTAGCTACTCAGGAGGCTGAGATCTGAGGATCGAGGTTCAAAGCCAGCCCGGGCAGGAGAGACCGTGAGACTCCTATCTCCAATAAACCACCAGAAAACCGGAAGTGGCGCTGTAGCTCAAGGGGTAGAGCGCTCGCCTTGAGCTGAAGAGCTGAGGGACAGCACCCATGCCCAGAGTTCAAGCCCCACAACCGACAAAAAAAAAAAAAAACGCTCTCAAGATGAGGGTGTCGACTCCAGGCTGTGCTGCCACACTGCACACGCTCTATCCTCACACGCACCTCATCCCAGCACCTCTCAAGCACTGCCAACAGTAACTCAACTTTTATTCTCCACCTCCAGCTGCTGGACCTGTCACCTAGACCTGTTATCTGAGCACACGTGAGACCTTAGGACACCTCTTTTACTCTCTGAGGAGTGCACTCGAGGGTCCAAAGCCACCCCAGACACATTCCTAAGGAGAGTGGTGTCGGCGACCATCCAAAGGTCAGAAAGGTCGGGATAGTTTTGCCCAAGCAGCAGCAGCAGCATCCCTGGCCTGCTCGGGGGAGGGGCGGAGAGGAGGCTGCGCCCGGCTGGTGAGTGACGGCCTTCTCAGCCAATAGGGACGTCACCCCGCCGCGTGGCGGTCCCGCCCACCCTGGCGCGCAGTACTCACTTTCCCCACTTCGGCGTTGCCCATGGAGATGACTTTGATGCGGAGGGATTTTCCAGGCTCCTTCCGCTTTGGCACGTTGGCTTCCATTGTCCTCACTCTCTCGAGGCCACTCGCCTCGGTCTCCTGGTGCACCAAGGTGGCCGGTCCCTCAGGCCTCCTCGACCAAAGGTGGAGCTGCAGCTGTCGTCACAGCCTGGGGTTCGCGGCTCTCCATCCTCAGGCAGCGGGCGCGGATGGTGAGGAGGCTGGGAGGCGGGGCAAAAGGAGGAGGGGCAGGGGTAGGGAAGGAGTGAGAAGAGAATCTCGCGATACTAGCGCGCAACGCCTGACGTCATCTCCGGGTTCCGGGCTTCAGTTAATCGGTCTCTGGAGTCCGGTGAGGAGCGCGGCCAGGTTTCTTGGCGAGAAGGCGGTGGCGGGAGGCCCGGGTGGGGCGGGGCGGGGCGAGGCGGCGGCCGGGTTCACTCGCGGCGCGCACACCGTTGATTTGTGGGCGGCGGGACGGGAGGCGTTTGTTGCATTTGCTACAGAAGTTTTGGCGGGTCGGTGCAGGTCCGGAGTTGGGAGTTGGTGGGCTGTTGTAGTAGTGGTAGGCCCAGCCGCGCCCAGCCGCGGGTTAACCGCGGTTTCTCTGAGGTCGCCCCTCCGCCGTTCCCCTTCTCGTTCCTTATGGGGGGCGAGGCGGGTCTACCTCCGGGGTGTCGGCTCCCGGGGGCGGGTAGATATGGCGGCTGCTCCAGCCCCCGGTGTAAAATGGCTGGTGTGTGTTGTAACTTATGCACGCCCCCCAGGCATACTTTGAAAATCACCGAACCCAATACCGCCTAAAATGCTGTACAGTTGAAGAGTAACAAGGAAAAGTCGGCACGTTTGCTACACTGCAAACGTAACTTTTGTTCCCCGAAGGTTCTTGAAAGTCTTGAGTCAGGAGCTGGGAAGTGGAGGAGTCAGAGTCAGATGCTGATTATGGGTGAGAGGGCCTCAGGCAAGACAGGACACTGAATTTGGTTCTTATCCTCCCTTCCCCAGAAGTTGGATGTGAATTCTGAGCTCCAAGCTTTCGCTTTGTCCATGGATGGCGCTTTACTTCTTGAGCCACATCCCCAGCCTAGGTTTTTTGCTGCCCCCTTTTCTGTTAGTTTTGTGTGGGGAGTTTTGCAGACTTTTCGGCCCAGGATGGCTTTGAGATGTCATCCTGTGGATCTCAGGCTCCTGAGTAGCTAAGATTACCCAAGAGCTTACCTGTGTTTAGCTCCTTTTTTTTTTTTCTTTTTTCTTTCTTTTTTTTGGCCATCCTGGGGCTTGAACTCAGGGCCTGGGCACTGTCCCTGAGCTTTCTTTTGCTCAAGGCTAGTGCTGTACCACCTGAGCCACAGCGCCACTCGCAGCTTTTTCTGTGTATGTGGTACTGACAAATGGAATCCAGGGCTTCATGCATGCTGAGCAAGCACTTCTACCACTTAAGTCACATTCCCAGCCTTTTTTTTTTTTTTTTTTTTAATATTGTATATTGGAGTCAAGTTTAATTTTGAATCTTCCTTACTCAGATCTAAGGGCTCGGGATTACTTAATTTGAAGGGAGAAAGCTCAGACCATATGTGTCATTATGTTTTTGTCCAGCTTTCTTGAGGTGTAGGAGTGTAGCTCTGAGATCTTCTGGTACCTCTGCGTGCCTCAAGTTCGACTTTGACTGTCTTTTGATTCTCACCCGCCTCTTAACTGACGGTAAGAATAAAGAAGAGTACATTCTACTGTTCCAGGGGATGAAAAAAAAAAAAGACACCATTTGAACTAGAGGCAGCCAGACAAGGAAGTTTTGTTCTTTTGAGCATGGCCTGGATGCCGTCCCTGAGCTTCTTTTGCTCAAGGCTACCACTTGACCTACGGTTCCACTTCGGTCGTATTTGATAGTTTAGTGGAGATAAGAGTCTCACAGTCTTTCCTGTGTGGGCTGGCTTCTAATCAGGGTCCTCAGATAACAAGTCTCCCAAGGAGCTAGAATTATAGGCATGAGCCATCAGCATTCAGTTTAAGGAATCATAATTTTAAGTCAATATTTTTAGTTAAAACTTGATAAATGGTTAATTCCCAGAGGGTAAAAAATGCCTATTTTCAAACAAACTGCAAATGTAAAGGGGGCATTGCTTTTCTTAGATAGTTTTAAAAACATCAAAAAAGGCTGGACACCAGTGGCTCACACCTGTAATGCTAGCTACTCAGGAGGCTGAGATCTGAGGATCATGGTTCAAAGCTAGCCCGGGCAGGAAAGTCAGTGAAACTCTTACCTCCAATAAATCACCAGAAAACCAGAAGTGGTGCTATAGCTCAAGTGGTAGAGTGCTCGCTTCAGAGAGAGAGCTCAGGGACAGCACCCAGGCCCAGAGTTCAAGCTCCACAACCTACCCAAAAAAAAAAAAAAAAAATCTAAAAAGAACTACTGGAAAACAATACAGGCTGAACATGACAAAGTAGTTTTAAGTCGGGTTTTCAGACATTATCATTTTAACACAAATGCTTTTTTAAGTTAACAGGTCTGCTCTTTTCTGCTCTTTTCTAGTATAGTCATGGCTCGTGGTCCCAAAAAGCATCTGAAGCGGGTAGCCGCTCCAAAGCATTGGATGCTGGATAAACTGACTGGTGTATTTGCTCCTCGGCCATCCACTGGTCCCCACAAGCTGAGAGAATGTCTGCCTCTCATAATTTTCCTTAGAAACAGACTTAAGTATGCCTTGACAGGAGATGAAGTAAAGAAGCTTTGCATGCAGCGCTTCATTAAGATCGACGGCAAAGCCAGGACTGATATAACTTACCCTGCAGGTTTTATGGATGTCATAAGCATTGACAAGACGGGAGAGAATTTCCGTCTGATCTATGACACCAAGGGTCGCTTTGCTGTCCATCGCATTACATCTGAGGAAGCCAAGTACAAGTTATGCAAAGTGAGAAAGATCTTTGTGGGCACGAAGGGAATCCCTCATCTGGTGACCCACGATGCTCGTACTATTCGATACCCTGACCCTCTCATCAAGGTGAATGACACCATTCAGATCAATCTGGAGACTGGCAAGATAGCCGATTTTATCAAGTTTGACACCGGCAACCTGTGTATGGTGACCGGAGGTGCTAACTTGGGAAGAATTGGTGTGATCACTAATAGAGAGAGGCATCCTGGTTCTTTTGATGTTGTTCATGTGAAAGATACCAATGGCAATAGCTTTGCCACTCGGCTTTCTAATATTTTTGTTATTGGCAAAGGCAATAAGCCTTGGATTTCTCTTCCCCGAGGAAAAGGAATCCGCCTCACCATTGCTGAAGAGAGAGATAAGAGGCTGGCAGCCAAGCAGTGCAGTGGGTAAACAGAGCAGGGGGTGAACTCTGGTTCCAGGTGGTATGTCCTAGAGGATATGTCTTTTTACATAAAGTTAATAAAAGATGGTTAACTTTTAAAAAATTGGTTGCAGAATTTTCATAAAAAGTAATACAACAATTCTGGAAAATGTCTAGAATTCTTTTGAGTCATAGTTAGAATTTTGATATAGCTTGAAATAATGCTTCTTTACAAATCCAAGATACAGACCTCATGAGTTATTTTTTATTTTATTTATTTTTTTTGGGTCCGGTCGTGGGGCCTGAACTCTAGGCCTGGGCGCTGTCCATCAGCTCTTCAGCTCAAGGCTAGCGCTCTACTACTTGAGCCACAGCACCACTTCCAGCTTTTTTCTTTTTGCTTATGTGGTTCTGAGGAATCGAACCCAGGGCCTCATGCATGCAAGGCAAGCACTCTACCACTGAACCACCTTCCCAGCCCCAGACCTCATGATTTAATCACTAAACTTTTTGATGTTTCATGTTTACTCCAAGAGAATGATTACGTCATTCATTTCACTTAGATATGATACTATTGAGACTGAAAGCAGAAAACTGTGCACACACATCTTTAGTCCCAGTTAATTTGGAGGCTGAAGGTGGGAGGGAAGTGTCCATTGAGCCTAAGAGTTAAGCCCAACTATGTAACAAGACACTTATCTCAAAAAAAGATGCCAAAGATTAAAAGACTATTTTTATATTGACTTTTGACCCTCTGGTAAATATATATAGCCATATGTGCATGTATATTAATTTGGAAGTGAGAAAGTTAGCTCTTGTTTTCTAGTCTTTGTAAAAAAAAGAAAGCATGAATCAACTTTGGACCTGCAAAATTTGGTATGACCATGAATTCTGGAGTCAGCCATCAATAGATGTTTTATGATGGCATAAGGGTATATGGTGGTAAGAACTATGGGAGATCAGTGAGTTGGTGGATAATCAGAAAGGTAAGTCGTCCTATCCCCATAGCAACAAGCCAGGTGTGGTCTTGTGCCCACCTATGGTCTTAGCTACTAAAGCCTTAGGAGGATAGTGGTTCTAGCAAAAATCAAAACACTGAAATAAAGGCTTGAAGTAGTGATTCAAGTAGTAAGGTGCCTGCCTAGCACATGTGAGGCACCTGCTTTAATACACCTTCAAACTTCAATAGTACTTCCCCAATTAAGGTTTGTACATTTGGTACATGCTATCTCCCTCTCCCCAAATATTTCCTTTTTTGTTTTGTTTTTTGTTTTTGTTTTGGTCCGGTCGTGGGGCCTGAACTCTGGGCCTGGATGCTGTCCCTCAGCTCAAGGCTAGCACTCTACCACTTGAGCCACAGCGCCACTTCCATTTTTTTCTTTTTTGCTTATGTGGTGGTGAGGAATCGAACCCACGGCCTCATGCATGCAAGGCAAATGCTCTACCACTGAGCCACCTTCCCAGCCCTCCCCAAGTATTTCTAACTAACATTTAAAGTTGTTTGAATGCATATGCCTTAAAACTTGGTATTGCATTTCATCTTTTGAAATTTCCAGCAAAGTTTTCAGAACAATGCAAAAATATACAATGTAGTAGGGCAGCAGCTGACTGTAGATAACAGGTGAAGACTTGCCATTCTGAGCCTCAGCGTGTTAGTGCTAGTTCAGGTTTGGTCTTGTTTTATGATTTGAAGAGCGTTTAGCCAACATAGGTGCTCAAGTACATGATGGTGATGTCAACACTCAGGAGGCTGAGGCAGGAAGATCTTCAGTTCAAGGCCAGCCTGGAATACATAACCAGACCCTGTATAAAGAAATAGGTTCATAGGCAAGTACAGAGGTCATTGCCGTAGAACAAGTATTGGGCTGGTGTGGGGCAAGTGTTTTCAAGGAAAAGAAAAATGAGCCTG